AAGAAATTTTCATTTTTATCTCAGTAGATTTGCGGTAGACATTGGTTTTCTAGCAGTATTTCATTTAATACGAAGTGTAAGTGAATGAAATACTGGTATTATTTTATTTCTATGTAGTTGAGTCCTAAGTAGATATTTTACAAAAAAAAGCACCGTCGAGAAGGCTGAACAATTTCCTTTCGGCCATCTTCGCGATCAGTGGTGAAAATGTCATCGCAATGTTGCGATGGAACTTGAAAGCAAACGGCATTCGTTTCCATCGCCAGATTTTCAAACCGTTTCATTAAAATCTCGAAGGTGTTTGAAGGCGAATTACCCATTTGCGTGCTATTTTGTTTAGTTTATAAAATTTACCACCGAAATATAATTATTTTGCCTATGCCACACAGAAATCATAGGTCCTAATTGATCATAATTGTATGATCGACTAGTACGTTATTTATGTGAATTTAATGTCATGATAAAATTTCATGTCGAAAAAAAATGCCATGATACTTTGCATCATAATGTATGTAAATAGCGAACGACTCCTCCAAGGCAAGGTTTGCCGGTGTATTGCAACGTCCCTTTGCGCATAATTGCTAGGCCACAATCCTATGGTATTTCGGCACTTCAGTTTTGCATGTATGTCTTACATAAAATCGCGCTCATCACGATGTTTCAAGAGCTGGTACTCTTTATATGCTGTTGCATAGACATCACGAGGTATTCACACGCCCGAGTATGTCAAATAAAAAATGACTCCTCCAAGACCAGATTTAATAACGCATAAGATTAACCTGGTGCAAATAAATGGAAGGAGTCTGCTCCAGACTCCAGTTGTCTTCTGCCGAAGTTCAGACTGGGACAGGATCGGGATCGTTGGAAGCACTGTCTTATGCGTCTACCTCCACGACCCGAAAGGATAAACGGTCATGGAAGACGAAGATGAAGGAGTTGAAGGAGTATTAATAAACATATGTTTGACATCACAAAATTGATATAGTGTTCAGTGATCTTAATTTATTTTTATTCATTCATAGCGCGTGAGAATTTTTTTCTTGCATTTCTTCCTGTTAAGGATCTTGAGTGTTTTCGCAGTCAATTTTCAGATTATTATGAAAAATGGCAATTCGTCTTAGAGGCAATAAGTCTGAAGAGAAGATTAAGTTTATATCCCACCCGAGATATTGCCGTTTCAGGTCGTACCTCCGCTAGACCTCTGTGTTGATTGCATTATAAATGATCCGTTTTGATGCAGTTTTACAGCTTGACTACCAACACGCAAGCAGAATTCCTCATCAACGAGCTTCAAGTGCGCTTCAGTATTTCAGTATTTTCTGAAAGTACGTAGTTATTACCACACAGTGACTTTCGAGGCCAATTTAAGCAGAAGACATGAAACTCAAGTTTTGATCTTAGCGGCGAAGGTTCTTAAACACATAATTTTGTTTCACTGGTTTGGGATTGTAAAGCACAGTCATATCTGATAGCCTTGGGATAAGATGATTTACACTGGATCATCTTCGCTCTGGGTTCGATTCTTCGTCTTGATCGATTTCGAAGGTTCTGTTTAAACTTTGTTTCTTTTGTACCTTACTTACAAGTCGCTAAAAATAACGACAATAATGTGCCTTTTAGAACTTGAAAAACTGAAACTTCATGCAGAATCTGTTGGCGACCTCAAAGAGTTTGCCGATTGCTGTAATTCGCTTGGAGCACTTTATGCGGAAAACGGTAAAATGAGATATTAAGATGTTTTTTGACGCCATATTTAGCCGCATGCCTTATCCCAGGTTTCACAAAAATTGTGATTTTTACTTGATTCCTCCTTTTACGTACTGATAATTATTTCTACCTTTGATAAACCCTGTCACCATGTTATCATATTAAATAGCCTTGAAGATTCTATATGATGAACTCCATCCTCAGTATCTGATTTTATCTCAATGTATATCCGTAAGTGATCTATCTGCATTTTCATTTCCATGTTAACCTGGTTCGGCAAAATGTCGACAGTTACATTCTTCGCAAGGACAGTTGTCGATATTGTGATTTCTGTATTCGGCGTTTAGAATGTTCGGAACGCTTTAAGGAGGCACAACCATATTCAGATGTACGTCACCCGGTTGTTACATGTCTTTGTTCCTTTTACTGCATGTAAACATCAAAATATGTTCGTAGAGAGGAGTGTCAGCTAACTCAACTTTTCCAAGATGAGATTTCACGCGGCATTGCAACGTCCTCTGGCTCTTAATTACCTTGCGATTAGGTGAATTTAATTTGGTTATTACTCCATAGTATTTGAGCACCTGCACTGCCAGATGTATCTCGCATCATTGTGTCCATGAGAGCCACCTCACGCTCATCTCAAACAATACTTCACAGGCTGGTATTAAGTGCCACTACATACATACCAAAATCTATCGCGATGTGCATCTGGCATTGCAGAGGCTCAAATATCGTGGAGCCGCAGCCACCTTTAATGCCCCCAAATGTAACTAGTAACAAGAAGCAGTGCAATATACCCGAAAATTTGGTGTTTGATGATCAAACGATGCATTGCGCCATATTTGTTTTGTTACTTGTTTTACCATATATACATACCGTGGAAGTACATCGATATGACAGTGTTATTGTCACACTGCTATTGTTAAATTACACGCTATATTCTCTCTACCGAAAGCTTCGCCGATCAATACACTTTGAGAAGAATTTAAGAAAGATTTAGTTCGAATGCCGATTAATAGATTATTATGCTTCCTATATCATCCCCCTGGCCACTAGATGCAAAGTCGCACTGCTATTATGCATGTAAGTTAGGAAGTGTCGGTCATTGGTGTACTTCCCGCTGGTATCGAAAACTGGCAGTTTCCTAGTAAACATGGAATACTGGGGTTAAGTTTTTTACTGTATACGCCTACGCATCGACGTATGTTGCGTGGTGTTTGAGCACGTTTTTGTTCTACCCATTGCAGTAACCCCGTTTTGTACCCAAGCGCTAAAATATATGGAACACTTGCCGGCTTCTGCGGTTCGATAGGCAATGGAAGCAAGAAGACGGCGCTAATACGCATTTTTATTCAGAAAAGTGACAGCAGAATATCTTAGTTCGTTGCTGAAGATCGCAGTATGCGAGTCTGAAACAAAACCAGTAGGAAGTTTTCATTGCGAAACTTGGCTGGATTTCACAGATTTTCCTTTCACATATTTGCCTTACGTTAGTTTTACATTATAAATGGTTCTGAGTGTGAATTTCAGTCCGCAGATAAGATATTCATTTATGAATATTTTTGTTTATTCATTCATATTCACAAATTTTTAGTTGATTTCAGTTGCAGGCGCAGTAGCTTAGTCTATGGCGTCGTTCTTTTGCCTGTCGGGAAAAGGCCCTAGGTTGGTTACTAGGCGCGAAAACGCAAGATTTCGATATACTGAAGCTGTATTTCTCTTGGACTGCCCCTTGGCCGTCCGCTATATAGCTTTGTGACAGGAACTGTTTTGCCAAAATCTTTTCTGGCGCCCACGATGACCTGTCGAGTTAGAGAAGAAAGTAGAGTCAATGAGATCATTGTATTCTTAATTTTGTTGAGCCACGTCACACCACCAACTGGTTGAAGGATTGCTGCCACAATGCTGTATCCTTTGTGTTTTTCCATTTTTAGGTGAATATGAAGAAGCCCTTGATGAACACAGGGCTGAATTAACTGCAGCAGAGGCCTGTGGTAACCAAGTAGCAGTGGCGTTGGCTCATCGACGGATTGGCGAATGTTTGATGAACATGGGTGAGTGTTAAAGTTAAGTTGTGAACGATTGTTAGTATTTGCTGATAGGTGAATTCGAGAACGCAGAGCTGAACGTTTCTGATTACTTGGCTCTTTCACAGTCTCTGGACGACGAATACAACACGCAGCTGGCTTATCACGTTTTGGGTCTTGTTCATCTAAAATGGGCTGAGCTGATTGGCGACGGAGAACCGTTTGATTCAAATCGAACGTCGCACCTGATGCAGGTAAGTTATTCTCAACTTATATTCTTCTCACATGATGCCACTGTTGTTGTTCTCGCCGTTTGTCGAATAGCAGATTTTTGATGCTCTTATATGACAGTTCAGTTTATGCTTCTTGAGATTTAAGTTCGAAAGTGGGTTTATCTTCTTTTCTCCCCCAGAATGTTTTTTTAACAGTGATCCGCTCTTCTAGTCAACTGTCCCCTCAGAGTTTCATATCGTTCTTCAAGATATCGCGCCACGTTTTCTTTGGTTTTTCCCTTCTTTTCTACCCTGGCGGTAGCACTGCTTGGGCCGCATTTCCAACGTACTTCATAGGTGTTCTTTCCACTTGATCGAACCAACAGAGCCTGCATTCGATAAGCTTTTCTGAATTTTTTGTTATCTCTAGAGTTCCTCTTGTGAAGCTGCTCCAGATATGGTCTTTTCTGTTTACAGCTCACGTCCATCTGAGCATTCGCATTTCTACGGAGTTCAGCTGTTGCTCGTGGCTTTTCAAGATAACCAAGCATTGCACTCCGGGCAGTACTACCAGTTTTACTGCAGTTCTGTATTCGTTTTTCTTTCACTTAATGGTTATATTCTTATTACATAGTATGCAGCTCAACTATCTCAAATTTTTTAGACCACTTTCTTAACCCTATGTAGATTTTTTTTGTCATGAAGGATAGAACCGAGATGCATCAATTGTTGGTTTCGAGGTAGCAAACTGTCCGCTGCTTTCATTTGTTGGTTTTCCTTCTGTTCTCTCCGGTAAAATTTCCTGCTATGTATTCCGACCTGACTTTGCTGAACTGAAGACCGTTTTTCTGAAGGATTCTCATCTAAACCTTATTTTTTGCTTCTAGTACTTTCTTTTTTCACCACTCCGGACTATCGTAAAGTTAATCTGTCATAAAATCAGTTGGGCGGGACGGTATGATTGTTTCTGTTGTTGATATTTACCGTTATTTTTAAATTTTTGCTTTGAAAATGGCGATTTTCGCCAAGGGGAAGCCTTCTGATAGTAATTAAACTTTTGCCTTTATAGTCTCACGAATTCTTCAGAAAATCATACGTAATGTGCAAAGCGGCGAAAGATCAACGTGGAATCAAGGACAGGACTTCTGCGGTGCTTTTAAACCTTGGAATGGTTAAGAGTTTGTTGAAGAACTACGGAGACTCGTTTGACGCGCTCAAGGAGGCTATGAAATTAGCTGTGTATGTGTAATGACTTGTAGTTTGTCATCTTTATTTAGGCTATGAGCCAATGGGTTCAGGGCTAAAATAGATTTTTTCTGCGGGATGGCAAGCAGAGCGTATGATTTTGGAATGTTTCGAACGATATGTTCCTTCGCACTGCAGAACTGTCATTAGATATTTTCTCATGCAAGGATTTCATGATCAGCGATATGAAGCAAATTAATAACGATTTTCCTTTTAAGAATTTCGTTACAACAACGCACATGTGTCATGTTGTTTATAATTTTGTTGCAGATAGCACTGCACCGTGTGACATTGGATGATACTAACATACTCTAAACATTTTGCTCATACAACGTGGCAGAAAGGAGTCTTCAGGCGGCGATGGTATGTTTTCAGCGGGAACATCCTTTAGGCGATATAGAAGCATCAGAATGGCGGAGGACATGAAGATTTTGTCAGAAGCATGTGCTTCATGATTTTTTTAAGTGTCCAAATGCTGCCCTGATGAACATTTTTCCTAATCAGTTTAGATCAGTAGTCAGCGTTCCATCTTATTTCTTCAGAACTTTCGTATTTGCTTCGTTGAATTTAATGCCCTAATTCATCAGCGTTTTACCATCTGCGGAATCGAGATCCTTCATATGTTTCACAGAGTGTATTGGGTTGATGACATCAATCAACGTAGAACGTTCCTTCGCCCTTATGGTTCTCTGCGTTTTTTCTCATCATGCGATGCCAAACACGTCACTGAGTACTTTATTTTGTTTCATACCGCTTTTTACTTCGAATTAGCTCTACAGCGCGATTTTTATTCTCGCGACACATACTAACCAGCTGTACAATTGTTCACGATGTTGATGATATCGTTTAGTTTGATATCATTGCAGTGCGTATCAATCCATATCGTTGTCCGCTAAATTTTAATAAGCACTCTGTATGAAGGATGTCAGTATTTTATCCAATACCACATAGGTCATGCGAAGCAAATGGAGTCTTTCATTGTCTACCGGTTCGGAAGTGTCAATGATTGTTTTAAAGCTTCTACGCTTCGCATTTCAATCGTCTCTTATCGACCTCTGGATTTCTTTATGATGATTGTGCAGTCTTATG